TGAAAGCAATTGTATGTGCTAAAATGAGCTCATCTTCTAGTTTTGACAAACAAAAACTATTTTCAAAAATTACATTTCAGTGACAAAAGCAGTGAAATATCCAGTGAAGTGAAAGAGTAATGAAACAGGTAATAAAACAATTAGTGCTCTGAGCTTTGATACTATGCAAGGCAACATATTTTGCTGCTTTCATTGACTGTTATAAAAAAAAAACAGAATTTTTTGGGGACCTCAATGACATTACAATACGTATGTGGTTAAAAGAAAATAAGTAGAGGAAGATTAAAATGTTCTAGTCCAATATTTTCTTTAGGATTGTAAGGGTAATGATGCAAAAAAATTTTTTAAATAAAATTTTTCTGCATCATTACCCTTATGTTTTGTAGCCATGATTACAAAATAATTAGAATAAATGAAACTAAGAGAAAGCACTAGTATCATGCAGGCACCGTGTTACAAGCAAGAACTCCAGACAAACTAATAAGAGTATTCTCAGTATTCAGTAAGAAACAAAGAAATGAGTCACAGGAATGTTTTTTCAAAATGAGAACAAGTGAGATTCTAAATACTACGTACCTCCGAAACCTTTAATCGATGTGAATAAATTTAACATTACTAGTGTTGTACGTTAGTAATGTTAAATTACTTATGGTGTATAGATGTACGTTATTATTAAAAGTGAGATTCTGTGCAAGTTTATGCACCTTAAAAAAATGACACTGATTTAGCACACAATTAAGAATGTTTATTTTACTTTCCATTTTTCCAGATTGCCAACAACAAACCTGGTTACAATTGGCAAGTCTGCATATGGCAGGGTTCTACTGTATGTATGTATGTATGTATGTATGTATGTATGTATGTATGTATGTATCATCATTACATGAAATGATTCAATATACATAATTCTCAATTATAATAAACATTGGGTGTACACACACAAAAAAAAAACAAAGCCCATTAGCATTTCCTAACATTAGTTCTTGAAATTTATTGCCAAATATGTTAATTCTCATTTATCTAATAATCACTGACTTAGATTAAATAATCAATTGATATTTGTAGCATAACATTAAAATTATACATAATTATATATTACCAAAGATTTCTCCCACATTGGATCGTATAAAACAAAAATACGTATACTCTAACCAATATCTAGTGTGAAAATGCCAAACAAATATTGGCAAACACTTTCAATGCCCCTCCTGGGCTCTTCTTCAGGCCAAATTTACTGTAACTGGATTCTTAAATCGAATGTTTTTAAATAAGAAAGTGCTCCGTTTCTAATAGTTCAAATTGGCAAATGTTTTCGTTTGCCAATCTTTGTTTGGAGTTTTCATGCCAGATATTGGTTACAGAATATACATATTTTTGTAATAATTATATTAAATGCTAAAGTAGACTTATTATATTAAATGCTCTAATAGACACTGTAGAGAATGAAGATAATTGCTAATTTGTCTATCATCACCACCACATTAAAAAAAATGTTTCCTGTCCACTGGCTAACACTATTTTTTTTTTTTTTT